CAGAAAACTGTGGAGACCAAAAGGAGATTAGTGATCGCTTAAGGCTAATGGTGTTGGGAGAAAATGGGGATGGACTGCTTATGGTTATGGGGCTTCTTCTGGGTGATTAAAATGTTCTAAGATTTTAGTTGTCCAATTCTGTGACTATAAAAATATGAAAATATAGAAATTATGAGCTAGATTAGAAGAAATAAGGGATGAGGCAAAAAGTGACACCATTCATTTAATAGGAGTTAATTTAAGAGTTACCTAATAGAGAAAATGGGAGATGGGGGGAGATTAAAAGAGAGAACAGCTAAGAAATTTCCAGCATTAAATATGTTACTCTCTATTTTCAAATACAGTCTTAATTGCTTAAAATATAAAGTATTCTTCCAGTGACAAAAGTACTACATGTTTATTTGCTTACACATTTATAATCTACACATAGTACATAGAGTCCTTTGTGTGGTGGGGTGGAAATAACTTTCCATAAAAGCTGACAACATTAATTATATTCAATTTGACATTTAGTCCCTAAGAACAGACACCTGCAGACACTTGTAGAGTTTAATCAGCAAGTTGAAATATCAGAAATGCAATCATGTTTTTACATTATAATGTTCAATCTCCTCAAGTTTTTTCACAATGGGCATGTGACTAAGTGTGAAAGTGAATTTTACAGTTATTAAATTATACAGCAAATCTGCAGTAACTAAAGGGTCATGCAGTTAGCTGACTCTCTATCAACAATCATTATTGGATGAAACTCAGAATTTCCTATAAGGATCAATACAAAGAGCTACTTCGTCCATCTCAACCGCATCCCTGTCCCATGTTACCTACATTGTGGACAGACACTCATTTTCTATACTTTCTGGAGTTATCATAAATAAAACAAAATTATGAAACCTTTATACTCACATATTAATATTTCCTTTATCCTAGTGCATGTTAATATTAAAAACCATGTTGCAAAATGAAACTCTCATAAGAGTTGTTTTCATATTTATTCACAATTCTACAGGCCTTAATATTTTCAAAATGCTGTGGAAAAACATATGGTTATTATTCTGCATCATAATGTTCTATATGCTAGAATACTTTATCCTCATCTGTAGACGAAAATAATCAGATAAGTCAAGGCCATTTCCTAAAGGAACATAGCCAAGTTATGCGACTTCAGGAAAATCAAGATTTCAACCTTAGCCTCTAGGGCAGGATTTCTTGAACTCAACACTATTGCTATCTGAGGCAGGATCATCTTTTGCTGTGGAGGAGATGGCGGCTCTGTGCATCATGGAACATTTAGCAGCATCTCTGAGTTCTATCCAGTAGATGCCACTAGCACCTCCTCACCGGCTGTGACAACCAAGAATGTATCCCATATCTTTCCGAACGTCTCCTGAGATGCAAAGTTGCCCCATGGAGAACCACTGGCTGAGAGGCACAATGAGCACATAAGCAACTAAGTAGATGAATACGTGTATCCTGTTTCACATCCTACATATAGAATTTTCTTTTCTCTATGGAGTGAATGTGATTGGCCTGTAGCCTTTTTATTCCTACCTATATATTAATATTTCTATGGTAGATATTTTTTAGAGAAAGGAACTATCACCACATCATACATTGCAAATTATTAACAGCTTAACTTTTTCAAAACTAGCCATAACCTTTGTCTCAACTTTTGATTTCCAATCAATTTCAATTGAAATTTTAAGCACGCTATTTGAGTTAATAAAGTGCCAAATGATCTCTGATACTCATACATATTTTTGTGAGGTAGGTATGTGTTTAGTGTTAAGTTCCATCATTAGAGATTAAGGATAAATTCAAGGTAATACAACTTGTTAGTGGCAAAAAAAAAAAAAAGCTTTTTGCTCCCATTAGCACTTTTATGATTCAAAATAATTAAGAACACTTGATTTTTAAAAATTCACATTATATTAACATTTTATCTTCATTTGGTTTAACTCAAAGATTTTGACAAGATAAATAATTTTTAATACTTAATAGTAATATTACTTTTATTTCCTAAGAATTACATCTGGTTCTCTCATGTTTATGAAGTAAAATATCTACAATTCATAATGTCACAAAGACATATTTTGTTAAAAGAAAGTGGATAAGAATGGAAGTATTATATCTCTCATTAAGAATATATTGCATAAAAAAAAGAATATATTGCATAACTCCTTGGCAGTCGGATAAGAAAAAATTATTTAAATAACTTGATTTTTATTTCCTAAATTAAAGCAGTCTACACACATGTGCATTTAGAATTACTAAATAAATAATAATAGTTCAAATAACACTCACATGAACAAATAAGATTATATCTTCCTACTCATTAAAAAATTACAGAAAGGTTTACAAAGTTTGATATATGCTTACAAATATGTTGATTAAAAGTAAAAAGTTTACATATACAAAATATATGAATATATCATTAATTTAAATGTATAAATCTCTTTGTTTTAGATTAATGTTATTTTCTATTTTTTATTTATTAATGTTTTTAATTGGCAACCTCTAAATGTATACAGCATAGTCACCTAAGTATCAAAAAGTAAGCAAAATTATCTAATTATAAAATATTTTAATGTACCTAAATATTTCACACATTATTACTTTAAAACAGTGTGAAGCTAAAAAAAAAAAAAAACCCTTCTAAACAATATCTAATGTGTGAACTATAGAAAAAAAGTTAGCTATTGATGAAAGCCTGTAACCAAAGTCTTGGCTAGAATTGTAGCTAAAGAAACAAGATGAACTTTGAGATTGCTACTTGAAATTTTACAACATGGAACATAGCATATACTCAGTAATTCCAGAACACTAAAGAAAAATAGTAATATTTGCCTATGTAATTTAGCTTTTCAACCAGGTGGATATACTGGAATTTAGTATGTCTAAGCATCGCTGTTTAGTCACTAAGTCATCTGACTATTTGAAATCCCATGGACTGTAGCCTGTCAGACTCTGTCCTTGGAATTTTCCAGGCAAGAATACTGGAGTGGTTTGCCATTTCCTTCTCTATGTCTAAGCATGCATGCTCAGTCACTTCAGTCACGTCCAGCTCTTTGCGACCCTGTGGCATCTGGCCCCATCACTTCATGGCAAATAGATGGGGAAACAGTGACAGACTTTATTTTGGGGGGCTCCAGAATCACTGTAAATGACAACTTCAGCCATGAAATTAAAACACACTTACTCCTTGGAAGAAAAGTTATGACCAACCTAGACAGCATATTAAAAAGCAGAGACATTACTTTGCCAACAAAGGTCTGTCTAGTCAAAGCTATGGTTTTTCCAGTAGTCATATATGGATGTGACAGTTGGACTATAAAGAAAGCTGAGCACCGAAGAATTGATGGTTTTGAACTGTGGTGTTGAAGAAGACTCTTGAGAGTCCCCGGGACAACAAGGAGATCTGACCAGTCCATCCTAAAGGAAATCAGTCCTGAATATTCATTGGAAGGACTGATGCTGAAGCTGAAACTCCAATACTTTGGCCACCTGATGTGAAGAGCTGACTCATTTGAAAAGACCCTGATGCTGGGAAAGATTGAAGGCCAGAGGAGAAGGGGACGACAGAGGATGAGATGGTTGGATGGCACCACCGACTCAGTGGACATAAGTTTGAGTAAACCCCAGGAGTTGGTGATGGACAGGGAAGCCTGGCATGCTGCAGTCCATGGGGTCACAAAGAGTCAGATACGACTGAAAGATTGAACTGGACTGGACTCTAGTCCATCAGGCTCCTCAAGTCCATGGGATTCTCCAGGCAAGAATACTAGAGTGTGTTGCCATTTCCTTCTCCAGGGAATCTTTCAGACTCAGGCATCAAACCCGCATCGCCTGCATTGCAGGCAGATTCTTTACCACTGAGCCAGGTGGCAACCCATGTCTAAGTGTATGTACCTTTAAATGTAAATGATTGCAGATTGGTTGACTTTCAAAAATGCAGCTTAATAGTATTCAGTGGAATCTTCTAATTCCATGGAGCTTAACAATTTTTAATTCTGTATATGTTCTTGGACCACCGAATCTATAAGTACCTAGTTGACAGTACTTTGGTCAGTATAAAGCTTATGGGAGGGAGTTTATATTTATAGGCTGGGTTGCAGTGAACCAGGATCTGGGGTAACAGGATTCACACTGGGTATCTTAAGATATATGCAAGCACAAGGCAATAGAGTGAATGGGAAATTATGAATAGGACGGCAAGCAAGCATGAAATGCACAACAAAACCAAAGTTGATAGGTCAGAAAATTGGAATCCAGATAAGAACCAGAGACTAAGAAAGGCAATATAAGCAGCCAGTGGCCAGGAACTATAGATAACAATCAAAAAGGCCTAAGAATAGATGTGTAGTATCAAGAAGCCCTTGATTATTGGGTCCATGTTCTGTCCTGAACAGGATGCTTCTTGGTTACCGCCCTCCTGAGCATGAATCAGTTCCAAGATTAATATGTGCCCTGGGCTGATAGGGGTTGATGAGAAGCAAAGATTTAGATAGCATAAACCCTCTATTTCCTTGCTCCCTAAAAACAGAGTGTGATAGGAGGAAGAAAGGTCTTTTTTAATATCAATTATGATTTCAGCAAACTCTAAAACATGCTACCACCAAATGCATGGGAAATATTTTTAACAATGCCCTAATTTAAGAATATTCTTTTAACCATCAAGCACATGTTATATGTATGTATTAGCTTTTCAGCACATATGTAGTCACAACTTTCACAACTACAGCTTCACTGAAATAAAAGAGAGAGGGAAATGCTAATGCTGAAACTTTAACCTCCAGAGTTGAATCAATTAATGAGTGTAGAAAGTTAAAAAAAAGAAAAAAGAAAAAAGAAAAGTCAGGGCTTAGCTTAAACAAAATGATCCCCCAAAGTTCCCTCCAAAGTACTCATTATAGATGAAAAAAAAAAATCTAAAACCTGATTCAAGTATTTTAGAAGACATAAAACTGGGACACTGCTTAAGATCATTTAGCGTCACAGCTGCTTCACAAACGAGTTCCATTGATCTTGCTGCTTTGATCTGTGCCATTCAATTCAATATGGTTGAAGGCAGGATTATCAGTTCCACCATCTTCTACTGGATGAGATTTATAGCTTAAAACTTGCTTCTTCTAAAAGAAAATGTTAACATGATGATTAGAGAAAAGAAACTGTTTATTCAACTCAATAATTATCACTACTACTTTTCTTTCTCTAAATCTTATTCACAGTCTACTGAAGCAGAGATAAACAACAGAAATAAATCATTTTAAAGAGGAAGGCAAATACCTCCCTTGTCCATCAGAGTTCCAAAGAGAGTCTGAGGACTAACGAGTATTCTATCCTGGTGATAAAAACAGTCTTAAGAATTTAAGGAAAAAGAAAGCCAACTCACTTTCTTAAAAATGTCAAAATTAGATAAAAAGTCCTCTTTGGTTAGTAGGAATCTGCAGTCTATGTTTTGTTTTCTTCCTCCTGAAAAAACAGACATTATTTACATCATTAAAAAGATATCTCTAACTACCCAGTGAAGGACCATCATACACACATTTAACTTGAGCACATTCACTTCTATGCACTTACAAAACACAAAGAGTCTTTTAAATAGTGCTGGAGACTTAGCCTACCCTTTCTCTTCCTTCAGTCAGTCCCAGATTCTGCAAGCCTCTCACTGGGATCAATATGAGTCTACTGTTTAAAGATAAATGAGATGGCTCTTAAATGTAAGCCAACTGCCTCATCCAGTATCAGCTAGGGAAGAGTCATCTGGCCCAATACTGGTAGGAAAACTGGTTTAAAAGCATTCTTCATGTTCTACCAATAAAATATCAAACCATCTACCTCTGCTTAAGACAGCAGAGTTTCCCTACCTTAATCCGGTGGTTATGAATGTATGAAGAAATGTAGGAAGCTGTGAATTGTTGGATAAACTATTCAAATGAAAACCAATATGGTTATCAGAATCAAAGCATTTAAGGGAGGGAAAAGGAGCAAAGAGAGTATTATGACACTCCCATTTTTTAAGGAAAAAAATGAGTTGAAAAAGACCAAAAGTCAAATAGTAAAAGGAGATGTTTGTTCCAGATCTGAATGGTTGGGTTACTGGCGAGAAAAGTTTAAAATCTGTCTTAAAATATACCACAACAGATAAGAGAGTAAACCTCCCATGCTGGGAACTTTACTTAGGAGAAATACCACAGTTCTTTTTGAAAAGAAAGATAATAGTTTAAACAACTGTTTGTGAGGTAACAGATATCTACAAACTTTATTATAAAATTACAATAATTATAGATTGTAATGTCTATAATAATGACAAGTATATAATGTTAATATAATCATTAATCTGTTATAATAATGTCATTATTAATATAATTTTAATTATAAATGCAAGTACCAAAGAAGTCTCAAAGACAGTGCTATCCAGATGTCAAAAAATCAATGAGAGGTGGTAGAATTCTACAAAGTGGGCACCATGCTGGCAGATTTGTAGCATAGAGCAGACATCACACATACTTGGATAAAGTGTAGGATTTCTGACTGATTACAACACATTTGATAAAGAAAGCAGTGGCGCTTCCTGCCCCTGGTTTGGCTGCTATGGATGTGTACATGTGAGGGAACATAGGAAATTAAGGGAGCCCAGCTTTTCTCCCCAACTCCACACTACCGCTCTGCTCCAAACCACCATGACTGCTCACCTGGATAAGTGCAATAGCCTCACCCGCCCTCCTTTCCTTACAGACTACTCTCAAAACTGGATCAGCACGCTCCTTTGAAAATTATTGGAAAAGTCATTATAAAAATATCCCAGGTAGTAGATCTAAAAGACATAGAGATGGAAAATAGAGAGAAGAGATAAGAAAATCAGGGGAGCTGTCCAAGTTTAAAACATTTGACTCACTGGAGCTTCCAGAAAGAGAAAATCGAAAATGGCAGGAAATCACAAAAGAAATCATATAGGAAAGTTCCCGGGAACTGAAGGATATATGCCTTCAGACCCTCCTGAGGGTTTAGGGCAGGACAGTCATTGTGAAATGGGTCACATGTAAACGGCCAGTGCACGACAGGGCACTGGTGTTCTGAACAGCAACAGGACAAGTCGAAGAAAAGTAAGACAGGCTCCAGGAACAAGAAAGTTACTCTCAACCTAGGATTCTCAACTCACATTATCAACAGTTACCAAGCAGATATGCAATGTTTCCAAGATCTCTTGTCCATCCTTTCTCAAGAGCATGCTATAGCATATACTGCATTCAGTTAAGGGAGTAAACAAGAATTAGGAGAAATGGGATTCAGGCAGCAAAGCATCCAACAGAGGAAGGGGACCAAGGGAACTCACAGAACGAGGACACAGTGAATTCCCAGGATAATGGTTCTACAGCAATCCCAGAGAGCAGGGTATACCACATATATTATTGGTTTGATTTTATTTAACACGTATTTTTTTTAAGTTTACAAACATCTGAAAAAAGCCTTCACACTATGTTTATATATAAAGACCATAATTAGATATGAAGACTTCTCCTTACATGTACACATATCTTCTTTCCAGTTTACAAAGAGTTGGTGCAGGACAATGAGAATATCATGCCACAGGGCTCTTATAATGGTATGTATAAAACTCCTAGCATTGTAATAGCTACACACAAGCATTTTATTTTTATCTTACAGCAACCTGTGAGATAGGCAGGTCAATTACTACTACCCTCATCTTATACATAAGATAGCTAAGGCTCAGTAGCTTTGGAGGAGCTCTACAGGCTTAGAGCTGTAAGTTCATGCAGCTGGTAAACGGCATAACAGATTCAAACTGAGATGGGTCTTCTGTTTTCAAGACTAGGCCCTAAAATTTCCCATGAGTAAAATGGAACAAATAATTGAGCTAATAGTATTTTACTATTTTATATAGTAAAATAACATAAATAGCTATAAAACAGATATAGTAAAAACTAATACAGAAGTAAATATAGCAAGACTAAATATAGCAATACTGATACTAAATACATCAGTAGTAATGTTACCTGTTGATACACTGAGAAGCATCCCCACAAACAACGTTACCAAAGTTCCAACGGTGCTGAAGTATAGATATGACAAGGAATACCAGTTATCCATCAGCGGAGTCCTAAGAAAGGACAAAAGCATAACTGTAAGGTTTCACGCATGCCACTAGTAACCGAGAGTATGCGCCAATAAGCCTCATGGCAAAGTCAGAGCACAATACTTAATCATGCTTCTAATGTCCAAATGTGCTGTCCCAATTTTACCTTATTGGGTCAGAAATTAAGTGTGACCTAACCTTGATCTCATACTATAAAACCAACGTCCATGTTTATTCATTCTGTTCATTTATTCATTCATTATTCATTCCCCTCTGCTTTGTGTTCCAGGCACTGTTCTTGTCACTCAAAAGTCTGCCATTGAGAAGGTGGACAAGGGGGTTCCTGCCCTCAGGAAGTTTACATTCTAAACGAGATGTGTAGTGATTAAGTAAACAAATTAATAAACATAATAATTCCCATTTTGATTGTAGAGAAGAAAGCATTTAAATGAGACATTAATATCAAAATGAGAAATTAATGTCAAAGATACTTTAAAAATTCCATGAATTTTGGAAATCAAATGTCCACTTTTAAATGATGTCTCCTGGCAATCTTGATTCCAGCTTGTGATTCATCCAGCTGGGCATTTTAGGTGTAAAATATAGTGATTCACAATTTTTTAAGATTATATTCCATTTACAGTTATTATAAAATATTGGCTATACATACTATGTTGTACTTATGTCCTTGTAGCTTATTTTATACCTAATAGTTTTTACCTCTTAATCCCTGCCCCTATATTGCCCCTCCCCACTTCTCTGCCTCTTTGTTATCTTCATTATTTTGTTGTTTTTTTTAGATTCCACATATAAGAGATATCATATAGTATTTGTGTTTGTCTGACTTATTTCACTTATATTTCCAGCAGTGTGGGTAGACCTGGAAGGCACATTGTAGTATTTTAAGTGGAGAAATGACATGATCTGATATGCTTCTAAAACAACTGCTCTAGGATTCCACATTCAGCTTTGATAGACCCATCATCCAGCCAAAAGTAATATTTGAAAATTTGGAGATGGGATGAGTCAGGTTTTTGTAAACCTCAGAGAGATCATGGCAATTAGAACTTAAGGGGTCAAGATCCCAGAAAGAAGGGAAACAGAGGTTAGCTATGAACTTAAGATAATGTGATATATTGGGCCAAAGACAGACAAAACAGAACAGAATAGAAAGTCAAAAACTGACCCACAAAAAATAGTCATTGGGTTTATGTCATAGTTGCCACTACATGGGAAAATGGTACAAAAAGAGGGTATTTTCAATAAATGGTTTTTGGCTAATAGAATATCCATATGGGGAAAAAAATGAATCTTGATAACTTGAAATCAATTCCAAAGTGGATTACAATTCACAAATGGAAATGGTGCACAAGAAAGCTTTTAAATAAAAAATTAGAGGAATATCTTTATGACCTCAAGGTAGGCAAAGATTTCTTAAATGGGACTCACGAAAGACTAACCATATAGGAAGAGACTGATAAGTTGAACTCAACTAAAATTAAGAAATTCTGACCACTAAAAAGCATCACTAAGAGAGTAAAAAGGTAAGCTACAGGGTGGGAGAAAAATATTTTCAAAACTTATCTTTTACCTAGAATATGTCGAGAAAACTTAAATAAATAAAAACAGAGAACTCATTTTAAAATGGACCAAAGATTTCAATAAAGTCACAAAAGTTCACAAAAGTAGTTATACAAATGCCCAACAGACATGTAAAAAGATATCAAACTTCATTCATCATAAGGGAAATGAAAGTTATGTACCCATCAAGTATTAGGAACTTAAAAAGTGAAAACTGAATCTGAGCAATTGAAGCCTAATATCTAGGCAACAAGAGTATCCTACTTCACCTTTAGCTGTTTGTTCACTCCCCTTGGACTCTAGTCATGCTGAACTGTGCATGATGTCCTAAGACACCATGTGGCTTCACGCCTTCCTGATTTGCATATGTTGCCTTCATTCTGCAACATACACTCCTTCCTTTTCCCCCCGCCTGATCTTGTTCACCTGATTATTTCAACCATGTCATACTCCTCTAAAAAAGAATCTTTCACTCAGGAATCATTAGGCTCCTCCTCCTTCTGGTTGTCATGATAGACTGTGAATACTACTTTTCACAATGTGTTACCTGTTTATTCTCTTGTCCAACTTCCGTTTGGGTCATTTTCTGTGACAAGAACCTTCTCTTCTAGCCAACTTCTGCATTCTTCAAGTATTAGTACATCCCTGAAGTATATGCTAATCTACATTTCAACTTTGCTTATAATCATTCTTGTGGGTACTTAGTTCATGCTCAAAAATTCTCGTTTATTAGCTGAGCTACTTTATAAATAAGCTAACACAGAACAGTGATTATTATGGTACCAGGCACATAGTAAACCTCAGCTAATTTGTGTATTTTGGAAATCCAAATAACCAATCTGCCTTTAAATTAAAAGGTACATCTACATAATCAGGACAAACACTAAGAAAAATTGTGAAATGAAAAGTACAACTTCAACATCCTGCCACTTACCCTTAATCACTTCTCCCTTAACTAACTCATCACTTCTCCCTTCTCTCTAATGACTTCCTGAGCTCCACCCTATAAATGCATTCATTCTTATCCAGAATATGCCCTGTATTTCTGTGCCCTTATCTCCACAGCATCCCCATCTAGTCAAACCTTCCCCCACACATGCCTCAGGCCCTAGAAGTACCTTTTCTCTTTACCCATGCAGACTACCAGCCCTGACTCCCACACAAGTATTCTCATAGCTGAATTCCCTCTGAATCACCAATGAGTTTGTATGTATGGTCACATTCCTTCTCCCAGGAGTGTGTCCCATTTTAAGAGGGAGATGCCATGTCTTGTCTCAAAAGAAATGATTCTCCAGTGGCTTAATTCTAGGCAAGCTGGAACTGGGGCAATGCTTTAGGGGAAGTGCCCTCATCTTTGCATTCCTTGAAGGCATCCATGGGTTTTTCGCTTTAAAACTGAAGATGTATATACCCACTAAGGGTAGTCTTGCTCTCACACCCACTGTACAGTGTAACAGTGATGCACCAAAAGGTCTGTTGCTGTTTAGTCACTAAGTGAAACTCACTCAGTCGTATCTGACTCTTTGTGATCCCATGGACTATAGCCCACCAGGCTCCTCTGTCCATGGAATTTCCCAGGGAAGAATACTGGAGTGGGTTTCCATTTCCTTCTCCAACCAAAAATCTACATTATTTCATTAAATCAGATTACATCAGTATCCAGAGCTCAAAAATGTACTGCATAACTGAAAACTCTAACAGGAAGATCACAGCTGCAACTCATTGCCAATGCTCTAAAGATTCAGAATATTTAGAACTGAACAAACAGCAATTATCCAACATATTTCGATGCATTGTAGCTTCTAGTTGGTAAAAGTTATACTTCAAAGACTATATATGCAATGTGTCTTTTATAATTTTGCTTTTTATTTTAAAGGTTTTTCAGTGGACAGAGACAACTTTTCATTCAAGTTGAACTAATATTTGTCAGCATTTACACATAGTAGAATTTCTTGTTACTATTCAAGTCTTCTTTGTATCTGAAGGTGAAGTGGGAGTTTTTATTGAAATTAAGAAAATATGGCTTTTTTTTTTTGCTATTTCTGAAAAAAATATAATAGCCAGAAAGCCACACACACTCTCCTCATTTAAGAATTAGGCAAAAATCACAGCACTGCAGGCAAGACAAAGAGCAACAGAGGTTGTCTATCTGTCACATTTATTTTTTCAAATATGACATAACAAAGCTCGATTCATTACCTTTCAATGTTGTGCACTTGAAAGGCACTGGTAGAAAATGGCGTTTCTGTGGTTGTCATCCAATTTGTTCCATTGTATGTGCTGTTACAGCCATAGGTTTCAAGTCTTAATGGCATCATTCTCTCAGGAAGTGGGGGATAAAGCTGAGCTCCAATTCCGACCCACAAAGAAGCGGCAAATCCAGACAGCAGACCCCCAAGTGCTCCCTGCAAAACAGAAGTGTTTTTCAAAACAAATAATACAGTTTGCTTTGAAATAGAAGTTAGCATTAGGAACTTAAGTTCAACACGGTCCAAATCAAATTTACCAGCTTCCCTCCTAAAACTCTTCTCCCTTGCAAGCTCCCTGCCTCTTGCCAAGGGCAGCATGGGTCCCAGGTCCCTCAGCCCAGAGCCCTGGTCTCTGGAACCCCCAGCCCCTATTTTATATCCCTATCTTGCCAATCACCAATTCCTCTTCATTTTTCTTTACATATCTCATAATCCCATGCCTTCCACTCTGTCTGCATGACCAGCACTCTGTTCTGGCCTTTTCATCTCTTTACATCCAATGACCACAACAGACAGATATGCAGTTGACTTCAAGCCAACTGTTCCCTCCACTTTTACTTAATTTACAAAAGATTTAAAAATGGCATGTCATATGAGCAACAGGGGCTTCCCAGTTGGCGCTAGTAGTAAAGGACCTGCCTGTCACTGCAGGAGACCCAAGAGACTCAGGTTCTATCCCTATGTTGGGAAGATCCCCTGGAGGAGGGCATGGCAACCCACTCCAGTATTCTTGCTGGAGAATCCCATGGACAGAGGAGCCTGGTGGCCTACAGTTTCTAGGGTCGCAAAGAGTCAGACAGGACTGAAGTGACTTAGCACACATGCATGCATGAGCAACAGGCTATGAAGAAGAAAGCATCCACAGAATTTATTCCTTTACTTAGCAACATGCATGATTGCAAATTAGGGGACAATAGCAAGGTCTTTTCACAAATGACTGCAATGGTACATATAACAAAGCCAAGCATTTCCAGAGATAAGTGGAAACGTCCTCTCTAAAGACAGTTGGTTTCACAATCTTTGGAAGACTTGGGTTACCCTGCTCCTACTGTTCACCAGTAATCGAACTGTTTTTGATAGTTAGTCAGTCCTCAAATGATTTAAGCCCTAGTTCCAAATGATGCAGTTGAAAGCAAATCTTGCTGGAAAGCCCCTTTCTCTGGGGTGAAATTTCTCCCCTCACTTTAAGAATAATGATCAGATTATTACAACAGAAATAACAGTATCTTACTTCCTCTGCTAAAGACAAGTTGGACCTAGTCAGCTATAGCATTTCTGGAGGCAACTCGTGGTGGCGATAAATGTCAAAAATCAAAAGTCAATCTTCTTTTAATATTTCAGGCACTCAGCCAACCACTTGCATTTCATAATGCAAAGAATCTCATCAAAATTTCAACATTCTGAGGTGGACATGAACTGCCCTCTTTCACTGTGATTCATTTCTACTAAGCTAGGATTTCATATGATACATCATTGAGAATTATTATTAACAATAATAACAATGATAATAGCCCTTACTTGTATCTGCCTTACCAATCCCTAATGAGGAAAATGGAATTCTAAATATAAAGTTCTGCAGTTATTCTCCATCTGTCTGTAACAACCGCATATATATTATAAGCTTTTCTTAAACCTCAGCTTTATAACAGGACTAAAGTCGTAGTGTTCCTCTTCACTTTCAGAGAAATTATTTCAATTTCATTTATTCTAAACAAAACTTAGAACACCTCAAAGCACAGATATATCTATATAGAAGAACAGAGCTATCACTTCTTTCTGAATTCAATTCTCAATTATGATTACCCCTTTGGGAACAGAACCACGTTGTTGCAGTTACATCCTTAAATATCAGGGGAACAGTTTCTGACCAAAGTGGCAAAGAATTTATCTTATTGCTTCTCTTTACTGTACTCTGGCTATTCACAGGTATCCCTGGCTCCACTGCCCTGAAATCTTTCATATCCAAGCCTGTCGATCTCCTTTAAACCTTAATGATTAATTCCCATGAAAGATAAAAAATAAATGAAAACAAAATGTTGTTCTTTAGTTATATAATATTCATAATGTGCATGCTAAGTTGCTTCAGTCATGTCTGACTCTGTGAGATCCTAGGGATTGTAGCCTGCCCGTCTCCTCTGTCCTTGGGATTCTCCAGGCAAGAATACTGGAGTGGGTTGTCGTGCCCTCCTCCAGGGGATTTTCCCAACCTAGGGATCAAACCTGCGTCTCTTACATCTCTTGCATTGGCAAGAAGGTTCTTTACCTTGAGCACCACCTGGGAAGCCCAATATTCATAATATATTGTATTATATTATATATCATATTATGTATTGTTTCATAATATATATCCTTTAGTTGTGCTTTATGATACACTTTATTTTATTATATTTTTATGATACTCTTTAATATTATATTTTGGGCTTCCCCAGTGACTCAATGGTAAAGAATCTGCCTGCTAGTGCAGGAGACACAAGCTCAATCCCTGGGTCAAGAAGATCCCCTGAAAAAGGAAATGTCAACCCACTCCAGTATTCTTGCCTGGAAAATCCCATGGACAGAGGAGCCTGGTGGGTTACAAGAGTCAGACACAACATAGTGACTAAACAACAATATTATATTTTAGTTATAATTATGTTTTTCTATAATTATGTGATAGTCACAATATTGGAGGAGGCAATGGCACCCCACTCCTGTACTCTTGCCTGGAAAATCCCATGGACAGAGGAGCCTGGTGGGCTGCAGTCCATGGGAACGCTGAGAGTCGGACCAACTGAGTGACTTCACTTTCACTTTTCACCTTCATGCACTGGAGAAGGAAATGGCAACCCACTCCAGGGTTCTTGCCTGGAGAATCCCAGGGAAGGGGGAGCTTGGTGGGCTGCCGTCTATGGGGTCTCACAGAGTCGGACATGACTGAAGTGACTTAGCAGCAGCAGCAGTCACAGTATATATTGTTCGGGCAGTTTCCATTTAGGTTCACACATGCAGGGTCCCAGTGCATAGTACATTCGTTGTGTGTCCCAGCAAAGTCAACACAAATAACTTAAATCATTAAGATGAGCCACTAATGACAGGTATCAAAGGAACCATAACTTTACAATTGAGAAAAATTGTAAAAATGCTACTGTAGTTGGAAAAGTAGACTTTACATATATTCATCTTTTATACTTACAATTGAGTTGGCAAAGGGAACCAAGATCCCCAAAGCAAACAAGCCCATTAGTGGCCCACCAAGCATGCCAAATATGCTGAGTGCTGCCTACAAAATTAATAAGAAGTCATCAATCAGCAATCGGAAATCCAAAGTTAAAACATTTAAAAGTAATTTCATTGAGATGAGGATTTAAACTCAGACTCCTGAATATCATGGCAGCCTTGCCACTGACAAAGGGATAATTAGAGCCTGGAAGCTTCTGAATCTCAGGCTCAGGTTCTATCTGTTCATTAAGTATCCTCAATAAAAGAAGCAAACTACAAAGAGGACAGAGAACTATGAGGCAAGAGGGACACTACTCCTCCTAGCATTGTTCTTATAGATGTTAATAATCACATCACTCCTTTGTGCTTTGGTAGTCTCAAAATACTCTGCAAAACAAGATTATGGATAAGTACTACTAAGTGACCAGAGATGGCAACAAAACTCAGTGCTATCCTTGATTTCCTAAGGATAGAACTAGAATGAGAAATGTAACTTCAAAAAAAAAAAAAAAGATTAAAAAAAAAACAAAAACAAACAAAAAAAGATTGATCAAATCATGAAGAAAGTTTTAACCTGATTGGCTAACTGCAACCTTTGCTTTGATGGACAGATGCCAAAATCATGATAGTGACAAAAGTTTACAGTGTGAAGAATGCAAAAGTGCAAATAGCTGAAACATTCAAGAGATGTATGTTCACAATATTCAGTCAGCTAACTTTTGAGAGTGAATAGAACCGTCAAAGAAGAATCAGGGATGCACTGGTTTGTTCACAGAGTAAAAGGGACAGATGGAACAGAATTAATACATTAAAGAAAAAATGTCAGTCAAAAAAATTTTAGAGGGTATAGACTGCAGCTCTGGGTTAAAAAACAAACAACAGCAAACAAACAAATAAACAAAAGCAAGAAAAGAGCTCTACCTAGTGGACTAGGGAGGGAGTGAGGATATGATGACAGAAGAACTAGTGTTTAAGGAGAATGTGGACTCAGAATATGGTCCTAAGGAATCATTTCACAATGTCTCCTGAACCAGAGTCCAGTAGGAAGGAAGGCAGAGTTCTGAAAAATGTGCAAAGTCACTTGGCACATGTGGTGGTCACTGACAGTGTGAGCTAGAGCCAGCTCTGGAGATACAAGGAATAGTCTCCCCACCAAGTACTTGTCTCAGGAATAAGACCTTGGTTAGAGATGAAGCAAGGAAGAGCTGTCTTCAAGTCATGATGAATCTCCTAGAATATCCCAATACCTACCCTCAGGCCAGAGCTGGTACATGAAAAGCGAGGGAAAGGGGGAATCAATCATAATAAGAGCTCTAAATAGTAATTCAGACTATGAAGGAAAGCGTACTAACAGGAGTTTTGTTGGTGATAGCTTAGGTGTACCAGATAAGAGAGTTTCTAGACCTAAATCATTCATTCATTCATACAATCAGGATGAGAGCACACTGTTTTAACAGCTGGTATACACTAAGAAACAACTGGCCAGAAAGGAACCAAATCCTAGGCCTGAAGCGGGAGTCTGGAGGACTTGCTATGCCTAGCATTAACCTTCAAGTTTCTGGGTCATGCTGAGGTCCAAGAGTCCCAGAGTCAGACCCAGGTGGCCATGGAAATTTCATGGACCACTTGGGGGTGATCAGATAAGTAGATATTTATGAACCAATACATAAATAGTTACATTCAACCTGAATTATAAAACATCTACTTTGTCTTAGGTACTGTACCAGATATTTGGTACAGTATCAAAGAACAATGACATAATCCTCATCTTCATGGAATTATAACCTATTTAGTAAAACAGACACTAAATAAATAACTGCAATAAAGTATTATAATGGGGATGATAAGAGAAATATGAGGAGCTCTGGGAACATAATAGAGGGGAACTCAAACCTATCCAGGTAACAGAAGGAGCCTTTTTAGAAAATAGTGTTTAAGTTGAAACTTGAAGAAAAAATGACTTAAACAATTAAAGAGTGGTAAACAGAAAATCAGAAGGATACAGAAGAACTCAGAACCATCAAAGAGAAGATCTAATAATAACTGACACTTATAGAATATACACTTAACAGCAAAGCACACATTCCTTTCAGGTTTCCCTGTAACAGATACCAAGATACTATATCCTGGGCTATCAAACAGACTTCAGCAAATTCTGAAGAATTAAAATCATACAGAATGTGTTCTCTGACCACCTTGGAATGAAACTAGAAATCAATAGCAGAAAGATAACAGGAAAATCTCCAAACACTTAGAAACTAAGTAATATACTTTTAAACAATCCATGGGTCAAAAGGACATATCAAAGGAAATTTTAAAATACAAATACAAAAGAAAAAAAAACAAATAAAATACAAATACAAAATATGAAAAGTTGTGGGACACAGCTAAAAGTGCTGAGAGGGAATATTTTAGCAATTAGTGCATAAATTATAAAGAAAAGTCTGAAATCAATCATCTAAGATTCTGCCTCAAGAAGAACAAAATCCAAAGTAAGCAGAAGGAAGAAAATAATGAAGATATTAACAAAAAGCGATGATTTAAAACAGAAAAGCAATATGGAAAAATCAGTGAAACAAGAAGCTAGTTCTTTGAAAATATCAGTAAAAGTTGACAAACCTCTAGCAAGACTAAAAAACAGATAAAAGATAAAATTACCAATATTAGGAATAAAACAAGAGCTAACACTACAAACTCTGCAGATATCAAAGCATAAGAAGGGAATACTATGAATCACTTCACAAACATAAATTTGACAACTTAGGTAAAATAGACCAAATCCTTGATCCATTTTATAATTCATCCAATATGAAACAGGTAATTTGAATAGGTATAACTACTAAGGAAACTGAATTCATAATTTTAAATTCCCCCAAAAAGAAACCCCCAAGAGCAGATGCTTTCACTAGAGTATTATACCAAATAGTATTATACCAAACAAAGAATTAACACCAGTTTCGCATAATCTCTTTCAGAAAAAAGGAAAGAATTCTTTCCTATTCATTTTATGAAGCTGGTATGACCCTAATAGCAAATCCAGACGATGACATTACAAAAAAAATTACTACAGATCAGTATCTCTCATGAATATAGATGTAAAAATTCTTAATAAAATATCATCAAATAGAATTCAGCAAGATATAAAAATAACTATATGCTATGACCAAGTGAGGTTTATTCCAGAAATGCAAGGCTGGATCAACATTTGAAAATCAATCAGGATAATATACCATGTCAAAGGACTAAAGAAGAAAATCATATTTTTATATCAAATGATGCCGAAAAATCATCTGACAAATTTCAACACTCATTCATGATAAAAACTGTCAGTAAAATAGGAGGAAAGGGGAGTTTCCTTAATTTGGTAAAAGGGATATACAAAACTCCCACAGCTAATGGACTCAAGAATGAATTACTAAATGCTTTCCTCATTCAGCGGCTTCCCTCGTGGGTCAGCGGGTGAAGAATTTGCCCTCAATGCAGGAGACCTGGGTTCAATCCCTGGGTTAGGAAGACTCCCTAGAGAAAGGAAAGGCTACCCACTCCAGTATTCTGGCCTAAAGAATTCCATGGACTGTATGGCCCATGAGGTCGCAAAGAGTAGGACACGACTGAGCAACTTTCACTTTCACTTTCCTCATTCAGACTGGGCAACAAGGCAATGGTGTTCACTCTCCCTCCACTTATTCAACATGATGTGGAAACTGAAGCCACAAGAATAGTATAATAATAATAATAATAATAACAAACTGAAGCAATAAGGAAACAAAAGGTACACATGCAAATTGGAAGAGAAGATATGAAACTGTCCCTATCTGAAGTTGAAGAGAATCTCAGAAACCAATAAGTAAACTCAACAAGGTCACATGATATAGACAAATATACAAAAATCAATTGTATCTCTTATACATTAACAAACACATGGACACCAACATTAAAAATACAATATCATTTAAATTACTCAAAAAATTAAATACTTAGGTATAAATCTAACTAAATATAAATGGGGCTTATAAAAATTACACAGTTGGTGGTGGAAAAACTTAGGGATGATCTAAATAAGTGAAGAGACATACTACATTTATGGATTAAAAGATGCAATGTGGTAAAAATGTTCCCAAGTTGTTATATAGATTTAAGGCAATATTATCAAAATCTAAGCAGGGTTTATATATAAATATATATATATATATGAAGAGAAGATTATTCTAAGCTTTATATAGGAAGGTAAAGGAACTAAACTAGTTAAAACAATTTTGAAAAATAACAATAAAGTGGAAGGAATCAGTAAATCTGGATTCGAGATTTATTACAACGTGATAGTAATCAAGACTGTGTGATCTTGGCAGATGGATATACACACAGATCAATGGAATAGAGCAAAGAAACCAAAAATAGACCCATAAAAATATCCTCCACTGATTTTTCACATAGGTGCAAAGGCAATCAATGGAAGAGAGATAGTTTTTACAACAAGTGGTGTTAGAGCAACTGGACATCCACAGGGAAAAGTAACCTAGGTCTCTCACCATTGAGGAAACTGGCTAAAGGGTGTGCAGAGTCTCTCTGCATTATTTTTCACTATTACATGTAAACCTATGATTATCTCAAAATGGAAATTTTAATTTAAAAAATTTTAAAGACTTTAGTCACATCTGTTCCTTGGTATGTCTATGGGTAGATATATAAAGAGAGAAGTCTAGAAATCACATCAACTTTTTAAAAAAAAGAAGAATTTAGTGATTATGACTTAAACCTTTGAGGATTAGCTCTTACCTGCAACAAAGCTCCCATTAGTGAAGCCAGTGCAGCCATGCCAATACACAGGGCTCCAAACAGCACACCTATATGGATGACATAAAAGCCATCGCGAAATCCAGATTCAGAGGATTAGAATTCTCAATAGAACAAGCTACCACACCTTGATTCAAAGTGTGTAATATGACTATAATGAAGAATGGCCACCTACCTCGGAGTCGGGTAAAAAGGCAACGGGCTGTTTCTCTACAGCGTCAGCAGTGTGCAAGAGGAAAGAAAACCCTGATATTGTGTCCCAGGATTTACTACCTTAGGTTATATAAGTAAAGAATCCCTTAAATTAACTATAGGTATTTTAAAACTAAAAACCATTGTGTTACTCTTCTAATCCTCCATAAACATTGTTTGTAAAGGAAAGCTCAGGTCTCTCTTTTCACTTTGCCAAAAACAGGACACAGCTTAGCTCTGCTCTGATGGGGAAGGGAGTAATAAACATCAGAAAGTCTTCTGACTTTAAGTGTTCATTTCTCCTGGGAAGTGGCAATCCACACCAGAGTATTTTAGGACCTTTAGCCTTCTTATGATCTCCATCAATATTCACAAACCTTTCCTGTTAAACAAAAGCAAAGAAAGGCAACTTGAAGACAAGTACTATATTTTCCCCTTCTACCAAACTCTTTCCCCCAAACTTCTTTATAGAAATTCTCAAGCTATCACTGGTGGTCAGTTTATGAATTTTTTTTGTCTTTTGGCTTTCAGTATTTTCCAGATTTTCTCTAACTACACATTTTACTTTTGAAATTGCTTTAGGAAAATTCTGGAGAAGGGAATGGCAACCTACTCCAGTATTCCTGCCTGGGAAATCCCATGAACAGAGGAGCCTTGTAGGCCACAGTCCATGGGGTTGCAAAGAGCTGGACACAACTGAGCAACTAACACACATAAGAAAATTCCAACCCCCCACTTTTATTTTTAAAGATTTCCATTCAACAAAACTCACCTGAAATCCCTTAATATAATTTCCCACATATAAGCTTCAAAATATAAAAAATAAAATGAGTGAGAAATTTATTCATAAAAATATTAGTGTATTCCTTATGTTATTTCTATCTTACTTACAAAAGCACTCACACCTTTGTTAAGCAGAGTGAGTAAATAATATCATTGTGCCTGAATGGAAAACTTTACATTAATTTGTTTTTTTAAAGAGCTTTATTGCAATGATTTTCCATGTCTCTAAATCCTAATATAAATAGTATTTCCAACATACTAAATTCTTCTCTATTTGGTAGCTCATGAATGGTCACCACTGTGGGTTTTTTGTACTCAAATTATCAGAAACATTTAAGTCATTTGCCATGTTACATACCTCAACATAATGATTATATTCAACCCTTCAAAATGAATGAAAGATTCATCTACACTAGTGGAGTCAACTTGTTATTAATCATCATCAACATCATTCCTTGAGTATTAGCTAGTACCTCTTGTTTTACGTGGATTATCTCTAAATCTCACAGTACCCACAAAGTGAATAATTTTTGTTTTCATTTTACATATAAAGAAACAGAGGCTCAACTGGGTTTGCTCAAGGCTTTGTCGTTGCATAGTCACTAAGTCATATCCTACTCTTTTGCAACCCCATGGCCTACAGCCTGCCAGGCTCCTCTGTCCCCGGAATTTCCTAGGCAAGAATACTGGAGTGGGTTGCCATTTCTTTCTCCAAGGGATTTTTCCCAAACTAGTGACTGAACCCACATCTCCTGCACTGCAGGCAAGTTCTTTACCACCAAACCACCCGGGAAGCCCTTGCTCGAGGCTGCTGCTGCTGCTGCTGCTAAGTCATTTCTGTCATGTCCGACTCTGTGCGACCCCATAGACAGCAGCCCACCAGGCTCCCCCATCCTTGGGATTCTCCAGGCAAGAACACTGGAATGGGTTGCCATTTCCTTCTCCAATGCATGAAAGTGAAAAGTGAAAGTGAAGTCACTCAGTTGTGTCCAACTCTTAGTGACCCCATGGACTGCAGCCCACCAGGCTCCTCTGTCCATGGGATTTTCCAGGCAAGAGTTCTGGAGTGGGGTGCCATTGCCTTCTCCTGCTCGAGGCTAACAGTAAATTAGTGAAGCAGTTTGGTGAGGCCAGCAAGTCTGTCTGGCTTCAAAAGCTTCTATTTATTCTACTAAACCACACAGCTTCAACAATCCCATAATGAGCCCATCTAAATGTCCTTTAAGGAAGCATTATATCATTTTTTAAAAAATCATGTTCCAGGATTAAAATCAGGTACATAATAAAATAATTCAATGCTATTTAAATTTAGGGGACACTGAAGAATATAAATTAAGTATGCATTCCAGGCTACAGTCATGGCAATTACATACAGAATTGTGGTATAAAACAGAATATTATTTACTATTTCTTTGACAGTCTACTAGCGCTATTAAGTTGAGGTTAAAGATTCTTTTTTAAAAAACTAATTTGTTAGTCATTCATCCTGAAACAAGTATACCCAAATGAAAATGAAGAGGTGCACTAGTTAGGTTTCTCTGAGTCAAATACTGCATCTGGGACATTTAGCAATTGAGGTTAAATATCTTTCCATTCAAGATGATATTTAACCCCTAATAAGATCCTACAATCTATGAATTTGAGAATTCATATTGAATAAAGTTGAGCATTCCTCATACAATTTTATTGACTATCTCCTGGACAGCCTACACATGCAGATAGAATAATCAAGATTGGTTTAAAAAAATCATAACACTCTGTTTCTTTATCTTCAATCCATACACATAAGACTATGTATCTTAAACTGTCAGTGCCCTCTTAGGTAATAGCGAAAAAGTGTGACTCTTGGTTCCAAACTAAGGATATTTCTTAAAACTGCAGTTGATGGAAAGGGGTTGAATTTTTATTTATTTATTTTTCTTTTGTGTCTTCTTTTTTTTTCCATTTGTTTTTATTAGTTGGAGGCTAATTACAATATTGTAGTGGTTTTTGCCATACATTGACATGGATGAAACTGAATTTTTAACAGTAGCTAACAATCCTAACATAGATTTGGTATAGGAAGAAGGTAGAAAAGAAAGTTAGCCACATAGGACCCCTGGAAATTGTTCCTTGTGGTCACCGGACAATTGTTTGAAGTATATCCCAAATCTTGATTGCAAATATGGCCATGACTGCATTAAGTCACATGCATGCATACATTCACACTATTTTCCATGGAAAATAATTTCTGGTATCTCTAAAAATGATCTCCCAGAGTTAAGATGGAATTGTAAAATGAAAACTTACTCATTCCTTGTGAAACCCAAGAGAGAGACTTTTCTGAGAGAGACGGGAAGCGAGGTTTCACTAGGTCTTCCATGGTCACTGCGGCTAAGGCGTTGATGCTGGAGGACACTGTGCTGCGGGGGGAAACCAAGTTCTTAACGTGCATGTAAACTTTAATAATGCCTTAGCTAGGAGTAAGAAAAAGGAAAGCATTGTCACTTCTGAAATATAACCAGATTTCTACTGCATTACTTTTTAAATTATAAGTATAGTTGATGTACAATGTTGTGGTAGTTTCTGGCATACAGCAAAGTTATTCAGTATATATATGCATATGTTAATATACATATTAATGTATACATACATATTATTTTTCATATTATTTTCCATTATGGTTTATTATAAGATGTTGAGTACAATTTCCTGTGTTATATAGTAGGACTTTGTCTTTTTACCTATTTTACCTACTACATTATTTTTTAATAATTACATCATCCTCTTTCTGGAAACTGTCATCTAAGAATGATTCAGGCAAATCCATAGGCTTAATAGTGAGAAAGGATAATTTAATGTTGCTTCCATTTTGCCATTAATCCTTATTATCCATGAAAGAATTTCTTAGATCATGCAGTATTACTATATAATGACTTTAAAGCACATTTTTCTTCGTGCATAGAAAGGACTATCATTAAGTCCTCTCTAACATTCACCATAAATATTAACAATATTAATTTGCTGGATCTTCACTAACATATGTTGTACATGATAATAATTAGTATAACACAGGAACAAAGTACAATGAATAAGCTCAAACACAAAACAAGATCCTTTGGACAGTATATATTATTCAGCATGTAACAGGAGATTTGTATTCTAAGTTTTCCATTTGACCATGCTTTAGTTACAATCATATTTTAAACTAAGACTGTAGGTCCTTATTTTGACCATCAGCAAAATTTACCATCAACTGATTATCATTATCATGACTGTATTGGGTATGTGATGATGTTTTAGACAGTAGGGACTAAAGATAAAAGCAAAGATTTATGGTAACAGACAGCCAACCCTCAAGGAGAAGAGTCAGACTGACAGAAAGGAGACATGGAATAATTGCCTATTTGGGGCCATTTGTGCCCATGTCCAGAATTCAACCTTATCCCCCCAAATATCCAATAATAAAAGAAACATCCCAAGAGGGAAAACTTGTATTATTAGAGTCCTAGTTCATACCTTAATGTTCCACTGTAAGCACAGGCCACAAAAAGCCCAGGAAGCCCTGGATAATCTTGCAGAATGTCCAGTACCAAATAAGGCATGAGCTGAAAAATTTCAAAATTTCCTCTTGAGTACTGTTGGCTATGAAATAAAATTAATTAACATCTCATTTATCTTGTGTGGTATTTAAGAACTAAAGGAAGATATTCCACACAACTGAAATTTCCAAATATGAAAAACTAAACTCTTTACCTGCTAACATTTAAATAAAAAAATAGAATAGTAGTTAAGGATACAGGCTCTGGATTCAGACAGATGTGGCTTTTGTTATTTAGTTTCTCTGAGCCTCAGTTTCCTCATCTGTAAAATAGGAATAATAATTCTAATCTCATAGAGTTGCTACAAAACTTAAATTAGATCATCTATGTAAGTTCTTAATATAGCACACAGAATATAGAAAAGGCTCAGAGATAGACAGCTGTTCTCATTTTTTGGAATAATAAATCAATTTAAAGGAAATATTTTTACATACCTCTGTGCTTAAGTAATAAGCATTCACTTAATATAACTTCACTTGATGACTCAGATTTATACCTGTGAACTTCAATCACTATTCAGGATTGAAAATGTAATTAGAGCTGCTTATACAGTTGACCCTTGGACAAGATCATTTTGAACTGCATGGGTCTGCTTATATGTGGATTTTTTTTTAATATAGAAAAATATACATGTAGAACATCATATGCATGACTTTGTTGAAGTGCATAACCTATCCTTACACAGGTATGACATGAGTGATATTTAATATGAAAACAACATGCAACATGTTAGGGTTTTCTTACTGTTTTATTACTCATTTCAAAGAATTGTGTTACTGCACAGTATGTCTCTCTCTAATAACTGCAGAAACTGCAATAACCAATCATCAGAAGTAAGATTTAAAAAAAACACATAATGCTTCTAACACTGTATTATGAATATGACTATTATACTGTATGCCATCAAGACTTTATAACAATTCATTCATTAGGGTATAGGCTAGGCTAGCATGAAGTAATCATATCAATTACACTAGGTTACAAATAGCTCAGTTGGTAAGAATCTGCAATGCAGGAGACCCCGGTTTGATTCCTGGGTTGGGAAGATTGATCGAGAAGGGATAGGCTACCCACTCCAATATTCTTGGGCTTCCCTTGTGGCTTGGCTGGTAAAGAATCTGCCTGCAATGTGGGAGACCTGGGTTCGATCCTTGGGTTGGGAAGATCCCCTGGAGATGGGAAAGGCTACCCACTCCAGTATTCTGGCCTGGAGAATTCCATGGACTGTAAAGTCCATGGGGTCACAAAGAGTCAGAGATGACTGAGCAACTTTCACTTTCACAAATTAAGCAATTGTATTGCAGCTTCTTTGTCAATGCACGAAGTGCCTTGAAAATTTTTCCAGGCATTTCCATATATTTTTCTATTTTTATTTATTTATTTTTGGCTCCGTGTCTTTGTTAGGGCACTTGGGCTTTCTCTAGCTGTAGTGAGAGGCCCACTCTCGGATCACAGTGTGCAGGTCTCTCACTGCAGTGGCATTTCTTGTTATAGAGCCTGGGCCCTAGAGCACGGGCTTCAGTAGTTGTGGCACACAGGCTTAGTGGCTCTGCGGCATATGGGATCATCCTGGGACCAGGGATTGAACCTGTGCCCCTTGCATTGGCAGGCAGATCCTTCACCATTGGACCACCAGGGAAATCTCTCAGTATTTTAATATTGGAAGTAGCATTCTTCATTCTTGTTATGTCTGCTAAAATAAAAATTTTCCAAATGCTTTATAGGTACTAAAAATGAATAATGTGCCTATTTGCTGTTACTTTACAAGAATATGAGCACTCTCCTCCCAGCTAATAGCTTTTGGGAACGTCATTCCTGCACATAAGAAAGACATGGTACTGGACCTGGTCTGGTGCAGACACTTTCTTGGCGGTCCAGGGATCACAGTCATGGTACCTGGAATAGAGGGCAAGCCCGCAAAGCACCGAGCAGACGAGGATCACCCAGAGTCCCAGGAGGTTGATGTAGAGAGACCTAATGAAGTGAAAACAACAAGTACATGACAATTTTAATCTCCATCTCAAAGATGAGATCGATTGTTAAACAGAAGAGACATTCATGACTACATTCAATAGACATGCATTCTCTTTCGGGTGTCAGAAATGCTATTATATTCTGGCCTAACCTTCTGTTTATGAGGTCAATCAACACTGTATTGGGAAACATTTGGAGTAGATGGGGTTTTGTCACTGAATGAATGTATCCTCCAGGTCAGAGTTCCATGGGCGTGATTAGCTTTATAATGTTGTTTAACTACACTGCTTCCCTGGTGGTTGAGCAGTAAAGAGTCCAACTGTCAATGCAGGAGATGCAGCTTCCATCCCTGTGTCAGGAAGATCCCCTGAAGAAGGAAATGGCAACCCACTCCAGTATTCTTGCCTGGGAAATACCACAGAGGAGCCTGGTGGGCTACAGTCCATGGGGTTGGAAACAAGTCAGATACGACTTAGTGACTAAAGGACGACTGTAACACAATTACACTACTTCGGGACCTTTGGTCATGAAATAGAGACTTTAATAGTCAACAGAGCAGTGACTATTATTCATTTTCCCTTTTAAAGTGATGCAGTTATAAACTGCTTGACATTATTAGCAGCTACATAGCAACTCACCAAAGTTGTTTAAATGTGGTTTGTGATGCCATCCATTAAATAGGAAAGGCAAACCTGTATTCCTAGACAGGTATCTTCCAAAATAATGTTCAGCATTTCAATACATGGTATGTGCTCCAGTAGAATGTAAAGGTTTATGTAATAGCACTGGAGTCAGTCCTGAGCATAAATCTTGGCTCTCTCTACCATATGTGACATTGGGCAAGTAAATTAACCTCTCTGATCCTCAGTTTCTTCACTGAAAGCCAGAAATAACAATGCATACCTCACTGAGTTATATGTAAGACTAAATAAAATAGTGTCTATCATATAGTACAATAGCATGTAATAACCACTTGTTAAATGGGAGTTAGTGAGATTACTACTGTTAATATCATTGAATGCTATGTCTTACCAGGGAAGCCCTATTTTAATAAGCAGTTGATAGCAAATATTTCTCCCACTAAGGCTAAGGTTTTCCCCCCAGGGGCACTATAGTGGACACCTGGACTGAAGAGAGGTGCCCACACCACCACCAACTCTTACCTCCTTCCCCAGGGCAGCCTGCACAAAATGATGACTAGATTCAGGTTTAAAGGCTGAGTTCCCTCAAGCCAACCTGGAACAGCCTGAAAGGTCATCTCAACTCTAAAGCTCCTTTTGAGGCCTCTGTTGAGACTGCATTTCAGTCTACCTTCTCCCTCTGATAAATCTCCCCTTCCTTCTCTTCTACATGGTAATTTCCTAGGAGACTCTGGCATGCTAACCTCCACCTCAAAGTCTGCTTCCAGGAGAACCTAACCTGCAAGAAGTCCCAAACAACAGATTTCTAGTCTTTTCCCTTGATTGACTACATCCACTGTGTATTTTGTTACTGCCTAATGAGTAATGGATAACCAACAAGAATCTACTGTATGGCACAGGGAACTCTGCTCAATACTTTGCAACAAACTAAATGGTAAAAGAATTTGAAAAATAATAGATACATGTATATGTATAACTGAGTCATTTTGCTATATACCTGAAACTAAACCAACATTGTTAATCAAGTATACTCCAACATAAAAATGTTTTAAAAAATTAAAAGTAGTGTAACTATATGTCATCTCCAAATCACCAGAAATATACCCAGACACTTTCCTACTCAGTCACCACACCTCACTTATACATGAGTTAATGTCTTATCCTACTGTTTTATTCTACTTTAATGCCAGTCAGATAGACCACTTATCAACATCTGATACCATGTCTAGTCAATCAGTGTCAGTAGGTCTTGACTTTTTGGCTGGGGTTCATTCTTTCCATGGAGCCAATGTTAGAAACTGGGAGAAAATGGTTCCCCTGAGCGCTTGTTAAAGAGACCATCGGACTATTCGGAAGGAAACTGTTTTCTACTAAGAAAGCTCTGATGCTGTTCTTTTAGTCATAAGCTTGGGCTTCTTGAGCTTCATATTCCCAAAGAAACAGGTTCCCAAAGAAGAGCCTGTGCACAATTACTTTGGGAGGGGCATCAGCTCTAATGTGGATGGATTACTGGATATATAAATTATATTCCTTTAAAGTGTCTTAAAATATCAGCATTCTTAAGCTCACTTTTGGGGGATTCCATATCCAGTTACTATACTCATATTCATATAGATCTTTCATTGTGAAATTTACCAAACATAGATAATGTCTAAACCAACTTACTCTCACATGTTGATATGTGACATCACGTACTTTTAATACTCTCCCTTAATACAAATAGAATTGCTACTCCTCTTACTGCAATCACCTTGTTACTCTTGGAGTTTTAAAGCTTCAAAATGCCTGAAAGCCAACTTAGCTTTATTTACCAGTATTAAGAATGCTGTTCACCAAGTTTATCTGAGGCCTCCTGAGAAAAACCCAGCCACTGCTCACACTCTGCCTAAGCCGAAATGGGCTGGATACTCCCCTGACCATGCTGTCCCTCTGACCTCGGTACATGCATGTGCTGAGTCACTTCAGTAGTGTCTGACTCTTTGCCACCCCATGGACCGTAGCCCGTCAGGCTCCTGTCTACAAGATTTCCCAGGCCAGCATACTGGAGTGGGTTGCCATCTCCTATCTCCCCAACCCAGGGATTGAACCCACATCTTTTATGTCTCCTGCTTTGGCAGGCAGGTTCTTTACCACTAGTGCCACCTGGGAAGCCCTCCAGAGGGCTCATGATAAGAGGTCAGAAGACAACCACTGTGCTTTGGGCAAATCGCTCTTCCTACCTGGAATGCTCTCCTATTCTTCGCCACTGGCCCACACGTGGTCTTCCTTCAGGACCTGCCTGCTCAACAGGAATCTCTCATTCATCCCTGCCTTCACATCCCAGGATTTGAGGTAGAAAAGGGAATTCACATTTACTGGATCCCTATCACATGCATGACAAACAACGTGTTTTATAATTCCTCCACAAGATGTGTGATATGCTCATTGTATAAGTTTAGAAACTGAAGTTCAGAGAGTCTAAGAAACTCACCCCATTACTCAAGTAGCAAGTGTTAGAACCAGGTTATAAGCCCATAACTGTGTCTGAATATAAAATGAAACAACACATCTGGCAGTACAATGCTCTAGAACATTTACTCTACTGTTACATTGTTTCAGGGAATTGTTATACCTCTAGTGCTATTTCATTTTTCACATAGTTGCATATATTTTCCTAATTTGATGCTAGATTCCATCATGATTGCTGTTCAGTTGCTAAGTCATGTCTGACTCTTTGCAACCCCACAGACTACAGCACACCAGGCTTCCCTATCTTCCAAAGTTTGCTTAAACTCAGGACCATTGTGTCGAAGATGTCATCCACCCATCTCATCCTCTGTCCTTTATGATAAGAGCCACATATTTATAATTTTTATTCCTTATATTTCCTTATACAGATACAAAATAAATGCCTATGTATTTGATAAGGTTTGTTTTACTTAATAATTGATATAAATTTTCTTCTGGCCACACCATGTGGCATGTGGGATCTTAGTTTCCCAACCAGGGATCAAACCCTCACCCCTTGCTATGGAACAACAGAGTCTTAACTACTGGACCACCAGGAGCACAGCACCACCCATCAGGAGAAAATCGAATTAAAGATTTTCCAAGTGTGGCCCTGCCCACCAGAGCAAGACCCAGTTTTCCCCACAGCCAGTCCCTCCCATCAGGAAGCTTGCACAAGCCTCTTATCCTCATCCATCAGAAGGCAGACAAAAGAAACAGAGGTCCTTGATATAAAAATTTTAAAATATCTGATTCAAAAAAAAATAAATAAAATAAAAATTAAAAAAAATAAAATATCTGATTCAAAACATACAGTACCACTTTGTTCTATGTGATCCTTTTGTAAGTATATCATTTATCTCTTAGAATTTCATGATACAAAAGAGAAACTCTAGCAAAGCTTGACTTCTGAGCATCCATAAAGACAATTATAGTTATTCATGATTCATATACCATAGTTTGGCTTACAATTTTGCCTGGAACCTGCTTTTACAGGAAATATATCTCTGCACTTGGGATTGGTTCACACCATAGATGCTGGTCCATGTGAAGGTCCCTCCTATAATAATCGTCCAGAATGTGTGTCTTTGCAAAGGGTTAGGATTAAAGCTAAATGAAAACAAACAGAAAACAAATTTGAACTCTCAGTAAACTACTACAGAAATCTTTCTAGAGTGTTTTGGAAGCAAGCAATGTATACTCACATAAATATAAACAAATATATATATATATACACACACAAATGTGTACAGATTGAGTGAAATAAAAAAATTGATACTTTCAGAGATTTGGAAATTCTGGATAGGACTGGGGGCAAAATGAATGTTTCAATCATTGTGAACGTTTATAGAAACTGTTCTCCCATTGCCACAGGAAGTTATTTAAACAAGTCTGCCATGCTGTAATCAGAGAAGAGCATGAAGCTGAAGAAAGAGAGAGCAAGCAATTCCTAGGTACACTGGAGCAACAGATATGGTACTGAAATAAACATAATATTGACACATTTCATGTGTATAATTCCTCTCCCAGAACATTTATAGTCCTAGCTCTACTTTATACTCAAGTTGAAGAATTCAATTAATGCAGTTTACAGGTTTTCATGTTTAAAACTACCATGTCATTATAACCATATTCTTAAAAGGCTGTGTGTACAAACTACATACTCACAGTTGAAAGTCACATTACAGTACTTAAACAAAATACGATTACAAAGAAAGCTCAACTTCCACATTCAGTGCATCTTTTAATTCTTCTTACTGTATCATCTTGGAAGGAATTAGTCCCTTCATCGCTGATACACAATATAAGCTTGAAAATTTTCTGCAAAATTAGCTTTAATGGAAGCATTCTGCATTTCTGAAATTCTGCATTTCACTTCAAAGTTTATATTTGAGATCATTTGGATAAAGTGCTACAATTTTATGTTTTCAGCATTCTAATGGAAAGATGAGAGCCTCTATTCCATTCTCTAATAGTTAATATCAAAGTCTAACAGTTTCAAGGGTGTTGGTCCTTTCTCCCATAAAGAAAGTGACTACTATACTAGCTAATAAACGTCAAGAGCCAAAGGGTTCTGTGAGTTACTGGAAGAAAGTAAGACAAGATTTAAAACACCCAATTTAGTGGTTTTGGTTTTGGCAATACAGAATACATATGCCAACTATAGACCGTATGGAAAATATCAACACAAAATCCTTCTCTTCGTTTATCCTACCCAGAGCAGATTTATTGCCCACCATCATATTCTCAAGACATATTTGAATAACAAGGGATATACAATAAGGTTTTTCATTTTTCCTTATTTGTTGGAAACCTTGTAAGGGTCATAAAAATGTCTAATCTTTTACTTTTTGGAATCTTTTACAGGTTATAAGTTATTATTTCATGCAGCAATGTGTTTACCCTTCATATAAACTGACAGTTATTTTGCAGAAAAATTGATTGACTCCATACCCTTTCCCCTCAACCTAGCTGACTAGGAAGAGATTTGGAAGTAATCCAGTCTACTGAGTGGCCACTGGTTGTTTCTGTCTCTTGGTATCTATTCTTCACTCTTCTACCCACTCCAGTATTTTTGCCTGGAGAATCCCACGGACAGAGGAGACTGGTGAGCTACAGTCCACGGGGTCACAAGGACTTGGATGTGACTGAGAAATTAACACTTCTAGTAACAGCAACCTAGGTTTGCCTTGGGAAAATAACCATTTCTCCATTAAACAGTCTAAATGATGGTCAATCAAAATGTTCTACTCTGTCCTAGCTAATGGATGGAATCAAGCTTAAGCTAGGCCAACTGGAGGCTCTATTTTCCTTAAAAATATTGAGAACAGTTGGAGTTGATTCACTGTAACTCATTCTTGCAAATTAAGACATTGACCCTGTCCAATTTCTAATGTTATTCTCAAACACTAACACCTTCTTTCAGAAAACCAGAAGAGAGCCGCCAAGTGTAAAGTGATTTTCTTTCCTCTTGCCAGCGATTTCAGCTTGCTTATCTCATAGCAGGGCTGCTTTAAAAGAAAATTAGCTGGTTCATGTCAAAATGAGCCCCCCACCCCCACACACTGAACATGATGTATAAGGAAGACACCATCAATCCAAAAGATAAAGTGTTTTAAATAGTCTTTTAAATTTATGATGAAGTATCTAGTTTCTCCATTAGCCTTCTTTAAGCAAGTTGAACAGTTGTTGAAGACATTATATCTTATGTAATGCTGATACCTGAGGCATTGGCCATAACTTCTCTAGTCAATATTCTAGAAATAATATTTAATATTACATAATATACACTAAATAATATTCACATATAAAATACAGACATATATAATAATAATATACTATATATTGCCAGGGCCATATTAAAAGAGGAATTCTCTAGGCTGCTTGAAACAAAGAATTGTCAAAGTGGAATCACTATCTTTCAGTGCTTTTCCCTTAAGAGGTTTCCTTTCCTTACCTCTCCACTATATCCTCCCTTCTCTCCCTACCCCTACCTTTCAACCTATCTCAGATTTTAATTTCTGGAAGAAAATACTCTTTTCCTATCAATCCCTTCTCAGAAGGAAGCACCATCCTCAGCACCATGTAACTAAATACCACCTGACTGCTTCCACCCTTAAAGTGAAAACTCCTTACATATTTATGTGCCAGCTTCAAATTTTTTTACCATGACCTTAATGGTTAGTTTGTTTTCTAATGTAAATTTATTATTGCAGCCAAGAGACTTTTTACAGGAAAAAAAAAAAAAAGGGATGTTCTATTAACCAAGAAGTAAATACTTAACCAAAAAGCATCTTACTTCCAGAAGTTTAATCTTCCTCCATTGGCGGCATCATTTATAATAGTGCTGATTCCACCTTGAACCAATGCAGCCTTTATAATCACAGATGTAAAGCCAGCCACCATGATTCCAACTTGAAAAACATCCGTCCAGATAACTGCTTTAAGACCACCCTTTGAGGAAAAAGTACATTAGGATTAATGCTTCTACCAGACATTATTAAGCACTTACATGCTTATACACTCCCCTGGTCAAAGATAAGAAAAACACGAATCTTGGCCAAGAAGTGCACCCAAGGGAGATAGTCAGGAAGGTAGTACTTAGATCCAACTTTCAAATATAAACAGAATCCAAAATGAAAGGTCTCTCAGCAGAGAAAAGAGCATGGGCAAAAAACATGTGCTTAGCCACTTAGTGACGTCCGATTCTCTGTGACCCCCGTGGACTGCAGCCTGCTAGGCTCCCAGAATTCAAAACACACGGCATGCTTAGTGTGTCCAGATATATATTCTGGAGCAAAGTGGAGTGGTGTGGGGATATTGTTAGGAAGAAAACTCAGAGTCAAACTGCAGCATCATAGATTTTATCCTATAGGCAGGACAGTGTGCACAAAGAAGGCATGCGTGTGTGCTCTGAGGGGATCCAATTCCTTGTGATCCCCTGGACTGTAGCCCACCAGGCTCCCCTGTCCATAGGATCTTCCATGCAAGAATACTGGAGTGGGTTGCCATTTCCTACTCCAGCGGACCATCTCAACCCAGGGATCAAACCCACCTCTCCTACATCTTCTGTATTGGCAAGTGGATTAGCACAAAGGACATACCAGCTACTGAAAAACTAAAATTGTTTTGTACTAGTCACTGCCCAAGTGTCCCCTCCAGAACCTGACCCAGTCCCTCTTTGAGGACCTTGTCGTCTACATCATCGAGTAACTAAAGTATTAAGACTTAGAGTATCACAGGTTGCACAAGACTTGCACCACTGGTAAGGATCAGTGTCAGTGATAGTATCAGTGCCCATGCCACACTGGTTCTTACATATTTTGACTGTCACTCCTGCCTAAAGGCAATGGGAAATTATCTCATGTTACTAAGCTAAGGAATATTGTGAGTATAGCTATAACAACATGATGACAATAAAAGCAATTTATGAAACGAGATTGGGGACCAATGCATGGTTCAAAGGAAGAAAAAATATCAGTTATGATCAATGTTTTACAAAGGATCAAATTTTACCCTGGACTGAATATTCCTTATAAAAAATAAGCTATTGTGGGAAGGAAATATAAACAACCCAGACTGCAGCATGCATTGATTGAAACTTTTAATTTTGCAAAGCAAGTGTATAGGGTAAAAGGAGAAATAAGGTTCTTGACATACCATAGTGCAGTAGAATGTGCAGACCACACCAGTAGCCACTACTACACCCCACAGATCAAATCCCGTGACTGTAGAAGAAAAGAAAATGCATGTATAACTGTAAAATATATACCAGTACTTCTCAAAAAATCATCAGCGGGAAGCTATATCATTTATCGGGCACCTACCTCTATACCGTCTTACCTTAAACTAGGCCCAAATCTCAAAAAATGTACCAAAACAAATCGAGTTCAAATTTTATTTGATGAGTTAAATAGACCTGGCGTCTATCCTCAGACACTATACAGGATCCAACACTGGCTACATCACATACATGAAAAAGCATTTATATTATAATTAAGCTGAGAAACTGCTTGATATTGGGAGGTGGTTACCCAGACTGAACGGGGTCATAGGATATTTGTTGTCATGGTTCAAATACACACATTTTTCAACCAATCCTTGAAAGACAAGCTGTCCATGTTACTAAAATGGGACCAAGAAAGAGAAAAACATATGTTATTTGTTACCATTTATTTAAGAAGTAGAGGGGCAAAACTTCCCTGGTGGCGCAGTGGATAAGAATCTGTCCGCCAGTGCAGGAGACATGGGTTTGATCCCTGATCCAGGAAGATCCCACATGGCTTGGGGCAGCCAAGCCCATGTGTCACAGCTGTGGAGCCTGTGTTTTAGAGTCCGGGGGCTGTAACTACAGAGCTCACATGCTGCAACCATGGAAGTGTCATTACTGATTCCTTCACCAAGGGTCACTTAATGTTCCCCAGTCCTCTGTACTTCTTGTGAACTAGATCTAGAAGCATTCTCAGACCTAATTTCAACTTTTTGCAGTAATGAGTTACAACTATTAATGTGCCGTTAATTCATTCATTAACTTTTAAAAAAAGAAGCAGTGTGTCAAATTATATTTTTTAATGGAAGGATAACAACTCTATGCCCACAGATTTGAAAGAAAATTTTACAAAAGACCTCTGATAAGGGATTGTTCTCCATATCATACAAAATGCTTAAAATTCAACAGTGAAAAAAAAAAAAAACCTGATTCTAAACTGTACCAAGACCTTAACAGATATCTCACAAAGCATACATAGATGACAAATAAGCATATGAAAAGATGCTCCACATCAGATGTCATCAGGGAAATGCAAATTAAAACAACGAGATACTACTATACACTTGTTAGAATAGTAAAGATTTGGAACACTGACATCACATGCAGGCAAAGAGATGGAGCAACATAAGTCTTTCATGCATTGCAGGTAAGAATGCAAAATGGCAAGAGCCATTTTAGAAGGCAGTTTGGTGGTTTCCAACAAAACTCAACATATTCTTGTAATATAATTCAACAATTGTGTCCTTTGGTATTTACTCAAAAGAGTTGAAAACTGCATTATGAAATAGTCTCAAAAAGTTGAAATGAAGTCGGAGAATGCTTCTAGATATACTTCACAAGAAATACAGAGGACTAAGGGAACATTAAATAACCCCATGGTAATGAAATCAATAAAACCAAGAGCCTGGAAAATTAATGAGCTGAAATTTTGACATGTATAGAATATTGTCCCCAACACAATTAACATTCTGTATAAAAATGTATGGAATGTTCAGGTACAGAGACCATATCCTGGGCTGTAAAACAAATCTTAATACATTTCAAAGAATTAAAATCACAGTAGTCCTCTGACCAAAGCAGCATTAGTTTAGAAACCAATAACAAAAAGTTATGTTTGAAAATCACCAAATATTTGAAAATTATGTAACACATTTCTATAACCCATGGGTAAAAGAAATCACAAGAGAAATTGGAAAATATCTCGAACTGAATGATTAAAAAAAACACAAGGTATCAAAACCTGTGGGATGCAAATGAAGCAGTACTTACAATAGTTATAGCTGTAAATATTATTTTAGAAAATAAGAGATTTAAAATCAAAGTTTCTACCTTAAAAAGCTAAAAAATTTAAGCCCAAAGTTAAGTAGAAGAAACAGTAGACATAATCAATGAAACAGAAAGCAAATACATAAAATCAACAAGGCCAGAAACTAGTTCTTAGAAAAAATTTAAAACATCAATAAAAGACTAGCAAGATACATCAAGGAAAAAAAGGACAGAAAAGATATCAATATTAGAAACAATAAGAAGGGACATCACTATAAATTCTATAAACATTAAAAGGATATCAAGAGGATATTTCAAATGACTTTATGCCAATGACTCGGCAAATTAGATTAAATGAATTAATGTCCTAAAAAAGACAGCTGACTAAAACTGACTGAATAAAAACTAGAAAATCCAAATGACTATATTTATTACAGAAACTGTATCCATAAACTAAAACTTTTCTACAAAAATAAGTATCAGGCTCAGATGCCCTCATTGTGAATTCTTTCAAGCATTTAAGAAATAAATACACAGTCTTATATCTTGTTCAGAAAATAGAGGGAGGAACACTTTCCAAAACATACAAAGTCAGTATAATTAATACAAAAACCTTGACGAAGACATTTAAGGAAAAGTAAATTTCATGCCAATACTCCTCATAACCTGCAAAAATCCTTTACAAAATACTGGCAAATCAAATTCACCAATATATTAAAAGGTTAATACATTATGACCAAGTAAATTTTATCCCAAGAAGAACAATTGGTTTAACATTTGAAAAATCAATATAATTTTCTACATTAACAGTGTATGAAGACAGAGCAGTAAAAGGCATACAGACAGGAAAAGAAGTAGTAAAACTGTTTCTGTTCATCAGTCAGGATTCAGTCTCTCAGTTGTGTCCTACTCTTTGCAACCCCATGGACTGCAGCACACGAGGCTTCCCTGTCCATCATTAACTCCCAGAGCCTACTCAAACTCATGTCCATCGTGTCAGTGATGCCATCCAACCATCTCATCCTGTTATCCCCTTCTCCTCCCGCCTTCAGTCTTTCCCAGCATCAGAGTCTTTTCCTATGAGTCGGCTCTTCGCATCAGGTGGCCAAAGTATTGGAGTTTCAGCTTCAGCATCAGTCCTTCCAATGAACACCCAGGACTGATCTCCTTTAGGATGGACTGGTTGGATCTCCTTGCAGTCCAAGGGACTCTCAAGAGTCTTCTCCAACACCACAGTTCAAAAGCATCAATTCTTCAGCACTCAGCTTTCTTTATAGTCGAACTCTCAAATCCATACATGACTACTGGAAAACCATAGCTTTGACTCGACAGACCTTTGTTGGCAAAGCAATGTCTCTGCTTTTTAATATGCTGCCTAGGTTGGTCATAGTTTTTCATCCACGGAGCAAGCGTGTTTTAATTTCATGGCTGCAGTCACCATCTGCAATGATTATGGAGCCCAAAAAAGTCTCTCACTGTTTCCATTGTTTCTCTACTGTGGGCAATAATCCCTTAAAAGAAATGGAGTAGCCATCATAGTCAGCAAAAGAGTCCAAAATGCAGTCCTTGGATGCAATCTCAAAAAGCAACAGAATGATCTGTTTGTTTCCAAGGCAAACCATTCAATATCACAGTAATCCAAGTCTGTGCCCCGACCGGTAATTCTGAAGAAACTGAAGTTGAACAGTTCTATGAAAACCTAAAAGACCTTCTAGAATTAACACCCCCCAAAAAAGATGTCCTTTTCATTATAGGGGACTGGAATGCAAAAGTAGGAAGTCAAGAGATACCTGAAGTAACAGGCAAATTTGGCCTTGGAGTACAAAACGAGCAGGTCAAAGGCTAACAGAGTTTGCCAAGGGAATGCACTGGTCACAGCAAACACCCTCTTCCAACAACACAAGAGAAGACTCCACACATGGATATCACCTGATGGTCAATACTGAAATCAGATTGATTATATTCTTTGTTTCTATTCAGAAACAACATGAAAACCACGAAGGATTTTCCAAAAGCCTACTTGAATTAGTAAGTATATTTAGCAAGTTCTCAGAATAGAAGATCAACATATAGAAGGCAATTGTATTTTTCCATACTTGCAAATGATGAAAAGACATTACTGAGAGAAATTTTAAAATGCCTTGGTAAATGGATAAATAGGCCAAGTAATGGATAGACAGACCATGTAAATGACAGGTCAAGTCTTCTGTCCACTTTTTGTTAGGTTATTTGTTTTTTTTTGCATTGATTTTGTTATTCAATGAGCCAGTAAGCTCAACATCAACAGTCATCAAGAAAATACAAAATAAAACCATAGTAAGATAATAGATGGTACAACTAGAATGGCTATAATTAAAAAGACAAATACAAAATGCTGGCAAGGACATGAAATCACTGAAACTCTTATAGATTGTGGGGTGGGCATGTAGAATGATGCAACAACTTAGAAAAGCTATTTGGTAGTTTCTCTTAAATTCTGTACATGTGACTACCCTGTGGGTCTGAACATGTGGGTCAGAACAGGTGTATATTTAACTTTATCTTGCTTCCAGGTATTCATCCACTAAAAATGAAAACATGTCAAAAAGCAAGCAAGACAAAACAAAACCTGTACAAGAATGTTCTTAGCAGCTTTCATTCAAAATAGCCTAAAACTAGAACAACCCAACATCCATCAACAAGAGAATGGATAAACAGATTTTGGTAGATGCATATGATAAAATACTAGCATTAAAAAGGAATGAATTACTGATACACGTACCAACATGAATGAATACCTCAAAAACATTTTATTGAGCGGAAGAAACCAGACACAAAGAAGGCACTATATGATTCCACTTATATGAGATCTAAGAACAGGGAAAGGTAATTTATGGTGATAAAAGCTCGCTGCTTGGAATAGAGGGGGGGACTCATTAGAAAGAAACACAAAAATATTTCTGGGAAACGAAGATAAAAATATTCTATATCTTGAGTTGAATGGTTGTCACAAGTACACAAAATTGTCAAAAGTCAACCAACTGTGCACTTAGGTTTCTGCGCATTTTATTGTATATACACTATATCACAATAAAATATGGCTTTCAATTTTAAAAAGCAAGAAAGAGAAATTTAAGAAACAACTGAACTAATTACAGATACATAAACTTATCTGAATCCTTATTCTAATAAACACTGAGAAAACATCAGGGA